TTTAAGTATATTAACAGACGACAGGCTGATAGTAAGCGGCGCTGAGAGAAAAAAGAAGAAAAAAAATCAGTCTACGGTCGACCCGAGGAAAGTCGCGATGTTAAAATGTACGCTGTATTATTAATCAAATATATTTATTTCTTTCGTATGTATCCAAGTGTTGTGCCGACCATCCACTAATTTTAAACCATTTCATACAATTATAACAAAAAAGTAAGTCACTTTTAGAAACTATAAAAAGCTTTATGTAACAAAAATTAAAAATAGAGTTATAGTTTTGACTTAATTTTTGTTGTACTTTTGATGGTACCTATTTCGAAAGCATATACCTACTATTAAAATTATCGATATTTGACATTTTCTAATAAACGTTTATTTACTGGTAAAAATATTGTTTTTACTTTATATGTAAATAGTGCATTAACTGCAAAATATTCTCTGCTAAAATATTACATATTCTTTGCTTCCCATGTGTGTTTAAAAATGATAGCTAATTAATTTCAGCTGTTCCCATGGGATACCTTGTACAAAATTGTGGATTAATTAATAAAAATTCAGTTACTATGCTGCTTTTTATGCGTTTTTTTTTGCTCGTGTTCAATGTACAGTGTCTATTTAATTTAAATTTCCCGAAATAACTATTTAAAATTATTTTTTTATACATCTTGTTTTATATTCTTGCTCCTTATCATAAAACAGCAAAATAAAAAAAAAACGTAAAATTTGTAACAATAAATTTGTAATATTTTTTGCAATTAAAATTTAACGAATATTAGTAAAATTATTAAAGAATCAAGTTATAAGACACGAATATATAAACATACGGCAAAATATATTTGAACAATATATTTTACGTGGTATGAAAATAAATGCGCACTTTTATATGTCTGCAATCATTGAATAGAAATTGCAATTCATCAATAAATTCGGTATTACAAGTATTTCTTTGATATAGTAATTATTTAAAATACAAACAATTAAATGTATAATATCTCTTAAAACATTGTTTAAAAAATAAGTTGTAACGTGTCTTGCACAGAGATGTGTCATTGCTATGCAAACTGGACGCGAGATGCTACCGCGTCTCTTGATATCTGCTAGATAGGCTTGACCAATGTATCAATATTTACATTCAAATAAAAAACTATAACTTCTTTCCTGCCTTGTTTTCTTCTACAAAACGCTTTTTGTTACAAAGGCTCCTGTATATCGTATTCAGTTATCTGCGTCTAGTCAGTTGAAACAGACACAATGTCACAAGTGGACATAACTAAAGACAACGTGTGGGATCATTTTGAAAAAAGTTTGAAACAGAATTTTCGAGCAAAGTGTAAGATTTGCAAATCAAGTCTTCGGTACGCCGATTTTACAAGCATTGTAAGACATTTCCGTGAGCATAAAAAATATTTCATATCCCTAGCAATCAAGAAACGAAGAGACATGCCGGAAATGTATTTTGACAATAATGTAACTTGTCTTATTTGTGATAAAATTTGTGTGTCTCAAAATTATCACGATCACTTACGCCAACATTCTACAACAGTGTTGTCATTTTGGGAAAAAACCACAAATAAACCAGAATATTACACACAAACTGGTGATTTTACGGTAAAGTGCAAAATACTGAATTGTGACAAACCTATAACTCTTTCTCTTTCAAAAAGAATAAAAAATCATGTATTAAGTGACACACATTTGAGATATATGCAAACGGACGTAACGTATTTGCCAACGAATGTGACAGATAATAATAAACTGCTGCAAAATTACGAAATATTAAAGTATTTTCAAGCGAAATGCAAATCTTGCAAATTTCAAGATTGTTATATCGACACTGCAAACTTTAGTCAACATATAAAGAAGAGACATGCTGATGTTGCTTTATACGAAAGAAAATGTGGCGAAGGTTGGCCATGGATGTACTTTAAGTATTATGCCCTATTTACATCAATATGTGCTATTTGCAAAAAAGTTTTACCGTATTATTCTGAACTTTTAATAATTCACTTGCATTATCACCATTTTATGAACACACATGATTGTTACCATCACGACTTGGATTGGGTGTGGAAATATTGTAATCCGAGTGGTGACTTTGAGGTGCGATGTTATCTTTGTAACGCTGAAATATCACTTGACGTTAAATTGCATTGTAATCATCATTCACACGACTTTAGAGACACACATCGGCAGAAGCTGACAAGTACGCGAAGAACGTATGACACAGCTGGACCGTCAGGATGCCAACTAAACTGAAGGAAAAAGGTGACAGTAAGTTTAATAATTTTTTTAAGTCGCGTTTTAGCAGAACAAAACCAAACAATTGCCAGACAATTTATTTCACGAGCAAGTATTTGTAAATGTTCATATAGGTTTATCAAATGGTGAATGATCGGCAATCATGTAGCGATACAACCAGCACAAAAGGCAATCTCGACTTTGGTAATTGAAACAATTTATGATATGCTAAAAAAATAATATATCTCTGACATGTAATTATTCATTTTATGTTCATAAAATTATAAATATGTTTCTAAATTTACTTTTTGTAAGATATACAAAGTTATATTTTCGAAATTTATTGAGTACATTTGATATGTTCAATGTATTTAATATATTTTGCTTATGTGTAGTCTACTTGAAATTTATAAACAATATTTATAATTTTATAAAGTAAAACAACTTTATGCATAAACAATCGACTCTTCGGTAGAGATAAAATTTGTCTTACCGACAATGAGTTGTTCAACAGTCACTATATTTTACTTCAATTTTGATTTCTTATATTTCAACGTTTAACTTTATCGTACATTTATCTTGGACATTTTTTACACTTTAGGTAATTTAAATTCATTATGACTTTTTAGTTATTATTATATTATATTAAATATTTCCAAACGGTAATACTAATATATAACAATAATTATTAGTAAAATATGTCAATTTAAATTTTCTAGTTGTATTTAGCCTATAAAATTAATTGTGCTGTCAATATAAGAAAAAATAATTTATTGTTAACAAAATGCACGCTGTAACAGATGTAAGACAATTTCTTTATACGTTTTAAAAGAATTCAAGACAAAAACTTATTGTATCGTTCGGTATTTTATTTAGTAACTTTTTATTTCTTTGTTTCTAGAAAATCTAGAAAATAACGTTTATCAATTCCATTCTGTAAATGGAAGATTTTTCAAATGTTTGTAACTATCAAAAATTTGCAAAAATGATATATTATAACGACGCACTTTTAAATTGTTAATTAAAAATATATTCTTATAAATTAAAATGGTTTGAACAAATTTTAAATTAATTGTATTTAAAATTTATAATTATTAATAATTAAAAAATATAAATTACAATCATGATACTTCATAAAACTAAAAATTAAACACATTGAGGGTATAATGTAAGCAAATGTATAAGTAGTGTATCAATTCTCAAAATTACTATTACAACCATCAATACAATTGTGTCTTTTTATTATTTTAATATTATGATTATGTAGAAATTTTTGTATTACTCACTTAATGGTATTAATGTTTACATAATGTTCTGATTGCTGCATATAATTTTGAATATGGGTGTGACACATTTTTATGTTGTAGGTAATAATTTAGTATAATGAAATATAATTAAAATTGAGATGGACGTTAATGATTGGTATGTATTTATAATTATTGTACTTAAAATACATACATATCAAAATATACTTACAAAAGATAGTCGTTTTAGTTAATTACTCCATACAAATACATATTTGGTACATTCCTGGAGAATAAAGAAAAAAACATTTTAAAATAGAAAAAGATTTGACTCATATATAAATTTGAGTAACATTAAAAAAAAGTAAAACATATATATGCATGCAATTTGATTGAAGAAAAAGTATTCTCCTTCGTGTAGTAATACATAACTTTATAAAATAATTATACCATCCCGGATATATGAAATATTTCGCAAATACGTTATTTTTTTTCCCATTTAATTAGCAGCATTTTGCAGCTGATGTAGCGTTGGTAGGAGCGCTCTACAAATAACGGCAACATACGAGCGACGTGTAACGCTAAATCCTTGCGTCTTAGTGATCGCATAGCAGTGGGACGTCCTTTTCGCCACGCGCGCATTACTCGCGCGGATTCGCCGATCTTTTTTCTTCAATTACTTAGTACAAAAATAAAAAAAATGGTAAAGGACTTTTCTACTTGTTTTGACCTCTTCTACCTGTATATGACTGGTGGGGCAATTATTGCCAGACACCTTGTATATTACGTAATATAAATGTAAATGTGCACTTTTATATTTCTGCAGTCATTGTTTGTCAGTTGTATTTATCGCAGTATCAATAAATTCGGTATTACAAGTATTTCTTTGATAGAGTAATTATTTAAGATACAAATAATTAAATATATAATATTTCTAAAACATTACTTGTTGAAAGAATAAGTTGTATCATGTTTTACACAGAGTTGTGTTATTGCTATGGAAATTGGGCGTGAGATGCTACCGCGTCTTTTAACATCTGCTAGATAGGCTTGACCGACGTATTAATATTTACATTTAAATGAGAAACTATACCTTCTTTCTTTCTTTGCTTTCTTCTATCAAACACATTTCGGTAGAAAGACTTCTGTATATAAGACTTGTATTCAGTTGTCTGCGTCTAATCAGTTAAAATACATTCAGTGTACAATGTCTCAAGTGGAGATAACTAAAAACAATGTGTGGGAACATTTTGAAAGAATTTCGAAAGATTTTTTTTGAGCAAAGTGTAATATTTGCGCAACAGATTTGTATTACGTCGATTTTGATAAGATTGACAGACATTTACATGACAAACATGACGAATATTTTTTATTTATAGCAAGTAAAAAACTAAAAGAATTGCGGGAGTTAACATAACATAACATAACATAACATAACGGGGGGGGGGGGCGTTCCTCTTTCAAAGCACCGCCCGCGGCACCCAGACATTGTCCATTGTCCTCCCCTCATAAACTTACTCATGAGAGACCTGTTTTTCTCCAAAAGAGAATTAGATCCCTCACCGGCAGCTCCCTGATCTGCTCGGGCTCAAGTAGTCTGAGCCAAGATGCTGAGCCCAGCATCTTGTGTCTCAGCCCTGCATGTGCAGGACAGTCGCTGAGTACATGAAGGCTTGTTTCCTCGTCGTCTCCACATGCCCTGCACCTGGATGTATCGCTACGCCCAAGTTTGTGCATGTAGTAGTTTAAGGTGCCATGACCCGTCAGTGTCTGTACCGCTGTCCTGGCATCTTTCCTACTCAGAGCCCTTATGCCCCAAGCCAGTTCCCTATTAGAAGTATCTCCCATCAGAGCTCTAGCCTGTCTACATTTGGACTCAGATTCCACTCTCCAGTGTCTTAGATGTTCTCTGCGGAGCCATTCTTTGATCCTCCCCCTTCCTAGACAAAAGGGGATTCCCAGAGCCGACTTCGATCCTACCATCGTTATTTCTGAACCCGCTCTTGCCAGCTGGTCCGCACATTCATTACCCTGGATGCCTGAGTGACCAGGCACCCAGGTAACGATGACTTCTCTTTCTCTCGCCAATTCGTCCAGAACGCTTCTGCACTCCTGAACCAACCGCGATGTTATTGTCGGAGCCCCCAGCGCCTTGATGGCCGCCTGGCTGTCCATACAAATTCTGATGTGCTCTCCCGCTTCTTCCTTACTCGGCACGGTCTGAGCACAGGATAGCCACAATCTCCGCTTGGAATACCGTGGCATAACTGTCGAGAGAAATGCTCTCCTTCCATCCCTCTCGACTGCCAAAGAAGCCGGCCCCGGAGCCCGTGTCCGTCTTGGAGACGTCCGTATACCAGACATCCCCTCCACGCACTCGAGCCCCTAGGTTTCCACCTTCCTTTTCCCACTCCTCCGGCCTCGGTATATGCACTTTAAAGCGCCTATCAGAAGCTCGAATAACAGGTATTCTGTCCTGTCGCATCTCGAATATCGGATCTAACAGAACGTCTTCTGGCAGTCTCGTATGCCAGGCTCCCTTCTTTCATTTTAGCATCTCAGACGGTATGCCACCATTGCTGCAGCAGCCACCACCACCTGGTGAAACGGCTTGATGCCGAACATTACGCCCATCGCCGCCACTGGTGTTGTAACCATAGCACCCAGGGCTCCTCTCAAAATCAGAGAGCCTGACATGCCTGACCTGACATGCTCCAGCGCAACTTTGGCTGTTTTCTTTTGCACTCTAGTCTACCATACTACGGCTGCGTATGTGAGTCTGGGGCGAAGTATGGCTGTGTAGATCCAGTGTATCATACTCGGTTTCAAATCCCAAGTCTGACCAAAAGTCCTTCTGCACATCCAAAAATACTGGCACAAGCTTTTGCACCGGCTACGAAGGTGCTCCTCCCAAAGCAGTTTCCTATCCAGGATAACTCCCAGATATTTCACTGATTCGGTCGAAACTAACCTTACTCCTCCAAGAGTGGGTCCCACAATGGTGCCCACCTTGTATTTGCGAGTGAAGACAGTAAGATCAGTTTTCAGTGGATTCACCGCTAAACCCGTCCTTTGACACCACTCTTCTACGACTTCCAGTGCCCCCTGCATGAGCTCTAGAAGCGTCTCTAGAAAGGGGCCTTGCACAAGTATTGCCACGTCATCCGCGTAGCCTTGTGCAGTGAAGCCTCCATCGTCCAGTGCCTTAAATAATCCGTCTGCTATCAGGCACCATAAAAGTGGGAAAAGTACTCCGCCTTGCGGACAGCCTCTTCCCACCCAATCACAAACCTTCGCAGTTCCCAGCGAAGTCATCACACGCTTTTCTAGCATGCCCCGGATCCACTCGACGAGCTTCATCGGGACACCTCTTCTGGCGGCTTCCTCACACACTACCTCGTGCGGTGTGTTGTTAAAGGCGCCCTCTATGTCCAAGAAAGCACCCACTGCGTAGCCCTTCCTTTTCAGCTGCTCCTCAATAAACGCTACCGTCTGATGTAGAGCAGTCTCGGTGGAAAAGCCCGGACGATACGCGTGCTGATTTTTCTGGAGAGGATACCTCCACAGAGTTGTCTCTCTCAGATACGCATCCACCAGCTTCTCCAATGTCTTAAAGAGAAACAATGTTAGGCTAATTGGCCTGAAATCCTTTGCCTTGGTGTAGTTCGTTCTTCCCGCCTTTGAGATAAACACTACCCTGGCCAGTTTCCATGCGCTGGGTGTGTAGCCCATCGCAATACATGCTCTTAAGATTCGAGTCAGTGGGCCTACGATCTGTTTCAATCTCTCTTGTAGAAAAGCCGGAAAAACGCCATCCGGTCCCGCTGACTTGTAGGGCTTAAAGGTATTAATTGCCCATTTGATCTTCTCGGGCATGACAATTTTGGCCGCCATTTGCCAATCCGCTTGTCAGGCTCTTCTGAATGAGCCCGGCTCCTTATATGCAAATAGCTCTCCCGGCTCCCTATGGAAGCTCGGAAAGCTCACTTCCAATATAATTGTGGGAGTTACATTATTACTATCTTTCTTTGCAAATATTCTTCTTCTTCGTGATAAAAACCTTTTGTCTCAAGATTTTGCTAATCACTCTTATTCTTTGGAAAAAATCGTAGATTTTGAAATTTCCTATCATAGATTAGAATATTGCAAACAAATTGATGTTTTTACAATAAAGTATTTACAATAAAGTAAGATAGTGAATTGTGACGTAATGGACCTTCCTGTTTCAACAAATATAAAAAATCATTTAATAACAGAGTTACATACGTGCAAATTAAGAAATATGCAAACGGGCGCAATGTCTATGCCACCGACTATTGCACATGAAAGAGAACAATTTATGGAAAAGTACATAATATTGACGGACTTTCAAGCAATATGCAAAATATGCTATACTCTTAGATGTTATATCGACCCTACAAAGTTTAGAGAACATGTAAGTAAGAAACATTCAGAAATTACTTCATATGAAGAAAAAAACGGAGGAGGAAAACCATGGAAGTATTTCAAGTATCATGCCAAAGACACTTCAAAATGTTTGATTTGTCCAAATGTTTATCTACCGTCTCAATTGAAACATTTAGATGGTCATATAGAAAAACCATAAAAACCAATCTCTTTTTGAATATGTGTCAAAAATAAGCAGTAGTTGGTTATGGAAATACTGTACAAAGATTGAGGATAAAAATTATCACGTGCAATGCAATCTTTGCAGCACCGAAAAAGAACTTGAACTTTTGTTAACTTAACAGATTTAAACCATTCTTATACATCCAACGATACAGATCAAGATACAGATGTGAACAAACCGGCAAGTACGGAAAGTGCGCGTAACGCAGCTGGATCGTCAGGAATGCAATCAAAAAAGAAAAAACGTAAACTTTATTGAAATTGTTGTTAATACAATTATACGTACATATAATTAATTTTTTACTTTTATCAAGTTGCGTTTTAGCAGAACAAACCCAAACAATAGCCAGACAATTTGTTTCACAAGCAAATATTTGAAAATGTTTATATATGTTTCTCCAAAGGTGAATAATGCTAACGGCGATCGCGACAGCTAGCACGACAATCAGCACAAAAGGCAATCTTTACTTGGTGATTGATACAATCTATAAGATGCGAAGTATATAATGTATCTGCAATTTGTAATTATTCGTTTTATGTTTATAAAATTATAAGTGTGTTCATAAATTTACGTATTACGAGAAATACAAAGTTACATTTTTAAAATTTATTAAATATATTTAATATATTCAATATATTTGATATATTTTACTTATAGAATGTAGTCTATCTTAAATTTATAAATTATGCTTATATTTTTATAACATAAAAAATTTTATAAATTAACAATTGACTTTTTGATTTTGAAACAATATTTGTCAGTTAGTTATTATATAACACAATTACAATACATAGTTTCACCTTTATTTCATATATTTTTATGTCTATCTTGGTCGTACGTGTAGCCTGAACATTTATTATACTTTAGAGAAATTAAATTTATTATGACTCCGTAATTATTATTATATTATTTTAGAGGTTTCCGAACTATAATACTAATGTAATAATAATTATTGGTAAAATACGGGTATGTCAGTTTAAATTTTCTAATTGCATTTGACCTATAGAATTGATAATGCTTTCAGTATAATAAAAAAATAAATTTATCTTTAACTTAATGCATGTTTTAACAGATTTAAGACAATTTCTTTGTGCAATTAAAGAATATTCAATACAAACGCTTATTATATTACTGGATTATTTTATTTAGTAATTTTTTATTCGTTTGTTTAATAACGCAATCAGAAACTAACGCCTATCAGTTAATTTCGACAATCATACAAGATTTCTCAAATGTTTGCAGCTATCGACAATCTGCAAAAACAAAGTATTATAACGACACATCTCTTTAATTATTGTAATTTGAAATATAATTGTAGAAATTAAAACTTTTTAAACAACTTTAAAAAAAAATTATGTTTTAAAATTTATAATTATTATGATTAAGAATATAATCTGTAATCATGATACTTCATAAAACTTTAAAATATTGAGAGCATAATGTAAGCAAATGTATAGAGAATGTATTAATTCTCTATAGTATTAGAAGTATCCATAAAATTGCGTTATTTTATTATTTTAATATTACGCTTATGTAAAATTTTTTGGATTACTCACTTAATACTATGAATGCTTGCATAATGTTCAGTTTGCGGTACATAATTTTGTATATAAAAGTAACATTTTTTAATTTATAATAATTTTGTAGGATTAATGGTATCATTATAATTAGAGACTGAGTGTGGATGTTAATACAGCATGTGATAACAACTGTTGTATTAAAATATATATGCTTCAAAATATATATACATATAAAAGAATGATGCTTTATTTAATTATTCTATACAAATATTTAGTATGCTCCTATAGAATAAAAAAAACTTTTTCAAATAGAAAGAATTAAGGTTCACATATAAATTTAAGTAACATTAAAAAAAAAATAAAACTTTAATTTGCACGCAATTTAAAAAAAATCATTTTTTTTGGTGTATTTATTTATAAATTTTCTATGTTATGTCTTTTGTTATAAGTTTTATAATTTGACGACGTACGTCTTTCGTTATAAAATATTATAATTTCCTTGATATATGAAATGTTTTACAATGTAAAAATTATATACGTTATTTTTTTCTTCATATTCTATTAGTAACAATCTGCTCTGGATTAACACAAAAAATTAAATTTTATTAAAACTTAATTTTTGCGAAATACTTAATCATTGCCCTGTATAAGAAAGGCGGGATAAAATTTTTCAATTTAATCAAACGCTATCTGATTTAACAAATTGTTTCGTAACGGTAATGATCATCCAATATTGTAATCGTGTCGTCTCTGCAGAGTAAGACTCGAATGGCACTTCGCCATTGCATACAGATTTTCAATTAAGAAGAAAAATTTGTTTCCTCTCCTTTAATACCGATAAAGACTTCTTTTTGACGATATAATTTTTACGAAGTGAACTGTAATGAGCTACGATACGATAATCGCGTACACGGAGCTTGCCCTGATCAAAGCTATCTTAAGCCAGTGTTATTAGTTTCTGTTTACAGGGCGCATTTCATGGTAAATTACAGTGATTTTCGAAATTTTTTGTTTGGCGGTTCTCAAATATTTCATGAAAAAATATTTGTCGATACAATTATATGCAATTAGAATTGTGCATCAAGTGCAACAACAATTTAACACGGTTAATAATA